AAGGTACAAGGGACAAGTTAAATATATGAATATATTGGTAATTTCTTTACTTATTTCATTAAATGCCTGCGATATGGAGGAAAACAGTAGTCTGTAGCTAAGCTAACTATGCTAAATGGTTGATAATCTCACACAGTCTACCCACCTCTCTCGGAGAATTGGGTTACAAATTGACACTCTTGCCTTTTTCTCTCTCACTCTCTCTATTTTTTTGGAAAACTTGACTTTATCATTTTTTTAGTAGCATAGTAACTGCCACAGTTGTTCTTGTCTTCTGCTCACTGCTGCTGAACACCATCGCCGTCAAGCGCGAGCTGGAACGAACCATTTCATGCAGATCCGGGGAGGGGTCAAGGGCAAAATGTGTGCTTTTTGGTCTGGGGGTTAGGGCTAACCCTTACCCTAACATTTAAGTTTTACTGCTAAAAGCAATTTTAGAAAATTTATTTTGTAATTGACAGGGTCCCATTTTTTTATATTTCTATGAACAAAAACAAAAATGCAAAACAAAAAAAAATTGTGGAAGGCCCCCTGTCGGTCAGGGGCCCTTGAAATTGTCCTATCTTTTTCCCCGTGTCACCGCCCCTCAAAACTCAGGGATCATACATTTTGAAATGCTATTGCAAATCTAACAATATTAACAAATTTATCTGCATAAACCACTGGCTCCAGCATTGTATGACCTGCTTATCAAAACAGCTGTTTTGTTGTTCAATAGTCTCAAAACAATTTCCAAGTTCAGTTTATTAAGTCAGTCAGCAACATTGAATCAAGACTCCCAAGTCTGAGAGAGAAAAAGTGTAAATGATTAACTGGGATGTGTGTTTTTAGACTTAACACAGTGTTACGACCCCTGGCCTCTGTGCAGGCTCCCTTTTTGTTATGTAGGTTCAGCTGTGAGAGCACATCTTCCTGAGTGGCTGCCTGAAGGCTGCAGGAGAACAGCTACACCATTGGACCAGCAGAGGATTGACAAGCCAATCAGATGTTGATGAGGCCCACCTGTACCGTATAAAAGGCTCCTGAGTCCATTCCTCCAGTGGGGCAGCTAGTTTGAAGAGGTTTTGTGAAGCTGTCCCCCTTGTTTGGTGTTTGCAACTGCTTTGGCCAGTTTTTGAAAAATTTGGTCTTGTTTGTTTCTGCTTGTTCAGTTGAGCGATTTTGACTTTGCTCTAGTTTAACTTCACAAGCTAGAAGCTCGTGTTTGGGAGGCTTGGCCCTTAGCATACCCTTTGTGTGTTCTTTCTTTCTCCCTTTTGGGTTATTTTGAGTTTACTTTGAATTCATTTGTGTGGACATTTTGTAACTTTAATTTGCATTTGATAATCCTGAATTTGTTAACCCCTTTTGTTTTACATCAATTGGGTTAAATTGTATTGTTTTGAAAAACTTACTTTTGTAATAAATCATTTTACATTCCACTTGTTTCTCTGGACACATTTTATGTTACCGCCCCTGGAGCCCTAGACCTTGGGGGCGTAAAACTTTTTAAAACCGTAAACATTGGTTACTAGTCAGCTTCTTCAGCTTATTGTTTTTCCACAAGGTATGTAGTTATTTTTAACATTTGTTGTGCAAAATTTGCAGCAATATTGGTTATATTTCAGCTTGTCAGATAAGATGAAAAGTGCATGACATTGTGCATTAACATTAAAACTTTCCTGACCTATTTCTGTGAGATACAGTTACTTGATTATGATGATGTTGGGCCAGACTAAGAGTTATTTGGTTTGTGTTTTAAGACTGCAGGAGGCCAAATGGCTATTTAACACGGTCCAAGCTGCATCACAAGATGATTGCCATTGCCCCTGTAGTTTCACTTTCCCATGTTGTAGTTTAGTTTGACCCTAACCCATATAAATATATCTATATGACACTTGTGCTGATGTTAAAGGTGGACATGTGATGTACAAGATGTGAGAACATGTAATTTCGATTTAGGAACCATGAAAATAAAGCATAATACCTGTTTTGTTTTGTGCTGACTTTCTCCTGTTGTTTTAATTCACATTTTGTGAATTGATATTTAGGTGTTTTACATTTCATATTATGAATGTAATCTTGATTAATTGCTCAGTTAAAAGAAAACTTCTTATTTAGTTCTCAAATAAATCCAGGAATACTTGTTTTTTAAACTAAAACATCAGTGTTGTCTAAGAAGTAATTACTTTCCTCAGTCATGAACTTTGCACAAACATATTACAGGTATGATTTGTACCAAGGACCTTTCCAACACTTAAGAATAACCAAAAATGGAATAAATCTAGTAACCAAGTTGTTTTTTGGAGCGCTGAGAGCTGTACCTGGATATTTCCCATCACTCCTGTGGACTCCATACGACTGGCCACATTCACAGTGTTTCCCCAGATGTCATAGTGGGGTTTCCGGGCACCAATCACTCCAGCTAGCACTCCTCCTTTATTCAGGCCTGTAGGAGAGGGTTTTTATGTTAAATGAAAGATCATAGAGTATGTAAGGTTTAATACTAATTGAGTTCTCAGGAGTGGTGTGGAAGTAAATTGAATGTTTAGCTGTATTATAAACTAATGAATTGGTCATATTTGTCTTGTAATTAAAGGAAGTGGAGGAGGACTACACTTCCTTTAACTTTATACTGTATAAAAATTACAAATCTTCAATGTTGTCTGACGAAAAGATGTAATAACATGTCTACAAAACTGTAAGGGTGTACTCATAAAACTTTACTTTAAAATTGTGTTACTTTTTTATGAGCAGAATGAAGTTCCCCTTGTGAATTTCACAAAGACAATGAGGAAATATTGATATCAGAATTTTCAATTAAAGGAGCACCCTTATAAATAAAACATTGAACATTTCCTTGGGGCTGAAAAATCTTTTTCTTTCAGCAAAGTTCTCTGTTTCTGTTGCGTCAAAGTGTTAGTCAGTGAATTGATCTGCTGACTATTCCTGGTGGAGTGTGAATAATTATAAAATAATATGATTGGAACTACTTACTATACATTTTGTTAAAAAAAATGTAAGTTTTAATTGTGTTATTTATTCTTAACGTTCTTTTTTGTATTAGTTATGTTTTACTGAAATTTTTTTGGTTACATTTGATTTACTTGTTTCTACTTTTGATTCTGTTAAAGTTTTCTATTCTTTTTTTTGATAATGTTAATTTCATTATCAAAAAAGGAGAAAATTATAGAGCAAAACTTTTTGTTTGACCTTTAAGGTGTGAAAACTGTGCTTTGAGAGCCATGGACTCATGAAGAAATGAATGTTACTCTGATCCCTATCTTGAAAAATGTTAAGGACTTACAGGGCACACAAAACACAACAGCCTATTAAATGCGTCCCACTAGTTCTTTGTGTCATTGTACACACTAATGTTAAGTATTTATTTACTTAACTATGTATTAATTAATTTATTTTTAACATCCCAGTTGTTCTGAGTTTATACTCTATTTGTTATATTTATATTAATTAGTTTTACTTCTGTGTAACCAGGTTGTTGTTGTGTTGCAGATTTCGGCCCAGGTCCCTCTTGAAAATGAGATATAGATCTCAATGGGGTCTTACATACAGGGAAAAATACATAATAATAATAATAATGAATTAAGATATATTTATTATTTTATTCAAAATCGGACTTGCCTTTGAGAGTTGCTATTTTAAAATTGTGTTGTGCTTTATTTGTGCACAATGACGTTAAAAGGAATTCTGATTCCAATTCTGATTATGACATGCATTTCTATACATCACGGAACTCTGAATGAAACTATGCTATTTCAGATTTGCAAACAAATCAGACCTTGTTTGCAAACCTTTGGCTTATACTCTACAACTCATGCTCCAATAATGCCTAGGTAAAGGAAAAGGTCGTACCAATGCGTAGCATGAAGTTGTTGAATGACTGGTAGTTGATGTTCATTAGTGTCACCTTCATGGCCAGAGCAAAGTCTGCCAAGTCTGCCAGGTGCTGCCAGCGCTCTCTGTCAGACTGCTCTTCCTTCTGTAGGACAGGAATACAATGCTGTAGCATAAGGATGATTAACGTTTGTGAAAAACAGATAACAATGAATTATGATGATGACATTCATAATAACTATATAAATATATATATTCTTTTATTGAGGAGGGGTGTTTGACCCTGTTACAAATTAAACTAAATGAAGCATTACCATTACCAAACTAAAAAAAAAAAACAGATTTAAGCTACAAGGGGGCAATGTTAACAATGCTAACATTGTTAACAATGCTAATATTGTTAACATTGTTAACAATGTTAATGTTAACAAAGACACCGTTTCCATTCACCAGTGACCCAAACATCACTTAAGTGAAATTAGGTAATCTGTTTACCTTCATGTACATGTAACCATCATTGACATCAGAGGTGACACCTGATGCTGCCATGTATGTGCTCCCAATGGTCTTGATCTTTGTGATGTAGCGAAATTTGGGCTCATCCAGTAGCTGACATTGATGCATATAAAGAAAGATAAGAACTTTATTAATTCCACAAGAAATCAAGAATATTTTCAGGGCCTGGGTTGTCTTGATTTGTTTTGGGACTTGATTCTAGCTTTAATATTATTCTGTGTTCATTAGTCTCTTTCTTTGACTAGATCAGCTTTGTCTGTTTAACCTTAGTTCAGTCCTTTAGTTTTATTATGTTTCTTATATGAAGCCCAGTGTAAATTCAATCAAGAAGACTCTTCATCTCACCTGCTCAGCTAATCACCTCATCAGGCTCCTCCTACCCAGCCATCTCCTCCAATCATCAGAGTTCGCTCCCTTCATAAAGATCAGCGTCCTATACACCTGCTCCTCAGTCGAGCGTCAAGCAAGCTGCTGCACAACCTCCATACAACCTTACGATCTGCCGGGTCCTCACTCCTTTTCATGGAGATCACTAGCTTATTTTTGTTCTTTTTAATCTATGCTCAAAAGCTCCGCTTGCACTGCTAGCACGGCCCGGG